GGGCTCTCAGGCTGAAGACCCACTCACTGCCGTCTAACTACATTCCCTCCACAGCTTCATCCACTCTCACAGCTTTTTTTTTTTTTTTTTTGGTAGTAGAGACAGGGTCTCACTATGTTGCACAAGCTGGTCTTGAACTCCTGAGTTCAAGGGACCCACCTGACTCAGCGTCCCAAAGTGCTGGGATTACAGGCATGAGCCGCCACATCAGCTTCAGTCTTACAGCTTTATTTATTTATTTATTTAAAAAAATCAAATTGGATTTGTCTTTTGTATTTATTTTTTATATTTATTTATTTTGAGAGGGAGTCTTGCTCTGTCACCCAGGCTGGAGTGCAGTGGTGCGATCTCAGTTTACTGCAACCTCCGCCTCCCAGGTTCAAGTGATTCTCCTACCTCAGCCTCCCGAGTAGCTGAGATTACAGGCACACGCCACCACGGTAGGCTAAGTGTTTCCTGTATTTTAGGAGAGATTGGGTTTATCATGTTGGTCAGGCTGACCTCGAACTCCTGACCTCAAAAATCCGTCTGCCTTGGCCTCCCAAAGTTCTGGGATTACAGGTGTGATCCATGGCACCTGGCCAGTCTCACCGATTTAAATATTATCTATGTGCTGACTGAACTGAAATATTTCTTTTTTTTTTTTTTTTGAGACAAGAGTTTCCCTCTTTGTCACCCAGGCTGGAGTGCAACGTGCAATGGCGCGATCTCGGCTCACCGCAACCTCTGCCTCCTGGGTTCAGGCAATTCTCCTGCCTCAGCCTCCTGAGTAGCTGGGACTACAGGCTGTGCCACCATGCTCAGCTAAGTTTGTATTTTTAGTAGAGATGGGGTTTCACCATGTTGACCAGGATGGTCTCGATCTCTTGACCGCATGATCCACCCGCCTCGGCCTCCCAAAGTGCTGGGATTACATACAGGCTTGAGCCACCGTGCCCGGCCTGCACTGAAATTTTTATCTCCAGCATGGACCCCTCTCCTGAGCTCCACTCTGACTATCCCACATCTCCACAAGAATGTCTAAAAAGCACTCAGACCTGACGTGGCCTAAACAGAGTTCCAGTCTTCCCTGTACTCAAGCCAGCTCCTTTCAAAGTCATCCATGTCTCCATTGAAGCCACTTCATTTTCCCAGCAGCTCGGGCTAAAAACTATGAAGATATCTTGGTTCTGCTCCTTCCCTCACACCCCACATCCAGTCTGCAAGTTCTGTAGGCTCTGCCTTCAATGCCCTTCTCCCACCTCCGCTGCTGGTCAGCCATGGAGGCTTCATCCCTTGTATTGATTATAGCAGTGGCCTGTGGACTGTCCTTCTTTTTTTTTCTTTGTTTTGAGACAGAGTCTCGCTTGGTTGCCCAGGCTGGAGTGCAGTGGTGGGGTCTCAGCTCACTGCAACCTCTGCCTCCCAGGTTCAAGCGATTCCCCTGCCTCAGCCTCCCAAGTAGCTGGGATTATAGGTGCCTGCCATCAGCTGGGCTAATTTTTGTATTTTCAGTAGAGATGGGATTTTACCATGTTGGCCAGGCTGGTCTGGAACCCCTGACCTCAAGTGATCCACCTGTCTCAGCCTCCCAAAGGGCAGGGATTAGAGACCTGAGCCACCACCACGCCTAGCCTAGACTCTGTCCTTCCTTTTGTTTTTTTTGGATCTGTTGCCAGGCTGGAGTGCAGTGGTGCAATCTCAGCTCACTGCAACTTCTGCCTCCCGGGTTCAAGTGATTCTCCTCAGCCTCTCAAGTACCTGGGATTACAGGTGCCTGCCACCATGCCTGGCTAATTTTTGTATTTTTAGTAGAGATAGGTTTTTACCATCTTGGCCAGGATCGTCTTGATCTCTTACCTCATGATCCATCTACCTCGGCCTCCCAAAATGCTGGGATTACAGGCCTGAGCCACCGGGACCGGACACTGCCTTTCCTTTGATCTTGTCCCTACATTCTCATCTCAACCCAGAAGCCAGGGTGTTTCTGGGACCCTCCTACCCCACAATCCCCTTCCCCCAGACATTCTCATTACTTGCTCCCTCACCTTTGGATTTTGACTCAAGTATCACCCCATTTTTGCCTTTCCTGAGCATCCTAGTTAAAACTATAAATTAGCCGGGCGCAGTGGCTCAAGCCTGTAATCCCAGCACTTTGGGAGGCCAAAGTGGGTGGATCACGAGGTTAAGAGATCGAGACCATCCTGGTCAACATGGTGAAACCTCATCTCTACTAAAAATACAAAAAATCAGCTGGGCACGGTGGCGCATGCCTGTAATCCCAGCTACTCAGGAGGCTGAGGCAGGAGAATTGCCTGAACCCAGGAGGCGGAGGTTGCGGTGAGCCAACATCGCGCCATTGCACTCCAGCCTGGGTAACAAGAGCAAAACTCCGTCTCAAAAAAAAAAAAAACCCTATAAATTAACCTACCGAGAACCATCCCAGCAACCCGACTGTAGTTGGTCTTCCCTGGACATCATGAACCACACTGTCCAAACCTTCTTCACTCCCGCCAACACTGACCATCCCCACAAGGAGGAGCATGAGGTGGCTATGCTGGGGGCGCCCCACAACCCCGCTCCCCCAACATCCACCGTGATCCGCATCCACAGTGAGACCTCTGTGCCTGACCATGTCATCTGGTCCCTGTTGAACACCCTCTTCATGAACTCCTGCTGCCTGGGCTTCATAGTGTTCGCCTACTCTGTGAAGTCTAGGGACAGGAAGAGAGTTGGCGACCTGACCAGGACCCAGGCCTATGCCTCTACTGCCAAGTGCCTGAATGTCTGGGACCAGATTTTGGACATCATCATCAGCAGAATGCTCATCATGATCCCAGGATTGATCTTGCAAGTCTATCAATAGATCAAGAGGAATCATCCCGGCCAGGAGCTCTGCCCGTGACCTGTTTCCCACATACTCCACCTTCCATTCCTTGCCCTGCCCCCGAGCTGAGTCCTGTATCAGCCCTTTATCCTCACATACTTTTCTTTTTTTTTTCTTTTCTCGGTGCCATGACTCGGATCCTCACACACTTTTCTACAATGGTGTTTGATAAAGTGCACATGTTCCCAGAATAAAAAAACTATAAATCTCCTTTTTTTTTTTTTTTTCCGAGACAGTATCTGGCTTTGTTACCCAGGCTAGAGTTCAGTGGTGCGATCAGCCCACTGCAACAGTCACCTCCTGGGCTGAAGCAATCCTCCCACCTCAGCCTCCCAAGTAACTGGGACCACAAGTGCACACCACCATGCCTGGCTAATTTTGTGTGTGTGTGTGTGTGTGTGTGTGTGTGTATTCTTTTATAGACACAGGGTCTCACTCTGTTGCCCAGGCTGTCTTGAAGTCCTGAACTCAAGAAATCCACCTGTCTTAGCCTCCTAAAGTGTTGGGATTACAGGTGTGAGCCACTGTGCCAGTCCAAAACTATGAATCTTGACCTTCCCTGTCCTCTCTCTCTGCTTTCTCTTCCTTCTAGAGCCTGTATCATTTAACTTACTATGTATATTACCTATTTATTTCATCTATTACTGGTCTCCTTTTAGGATACAAGACTGGTGTCTATTCTGTTTTTTATTGTTTTCCTTGCTGCTTGGAACATACAGTAGGCACTGAATTTGCCCTGAGCACTAAAGTTGAAATAATGAGACTAAGCCCAGTGGCTCATGCCTGTAATCCTAGCACTTTGGGAGGTCAAAGTGTTTGAGCCCAGGAGTTTGAGACCAGCCTGGGTAACACAGTGAGACCCCATGTCAACAAAAAATAAATTTAAAAAAAATTTTAGCTGCATGTGCTAGTATATGTCTCTAGTCCTAGCTACTCAGGAGGCTGAGGTGAGAGGACTGCTTGAGCCCATGAGGTCGAGGCTGCAGTGAGCTGTGACTGCACTGGGTGACCAGGAGACCCTGTCCCTCTCTCTCTTTTAGCAGAGACGGGGGTTTCTCCATGTTGGTCAGGCTGGTCTTGAACTCCGGACCTCAGGTGATCCGCCCACCTCAGCCTCACAAAGTGCTGGGATTACAGGCATGAGCCATCGATCCTGGCCCTTTTTTTATTTTTATTTTTTTTAGAGACAGGGTCGGCCAGGCATGGTGGCTCACACCTGTAATCCCAGCTACTCGGGAGGCTGAGGTACGAGAATCGCTTGAACCCGGGAGGCGGAGTTTGCAATGACCTGAGATCGCGCCACTGCACTCCAGCCTGGGCAACAAGAGTGACATTCCATCTCAAAAAAAAAAAAGATGTAATGAGCAAAACCTGAAAAAGTCCATTAAACTTGAAGTGTTGGGCAGCATTTCTCTGATTTTCGTGTCTAAGACCCTACCTGGGGAGCACCAGGAAGTGAAGACTCTGGCTCCACCCCAGGAGATTCTGGGGTAGATCTCAGGGGTGTGCACACTGCGGAAGCGCCCCTGGCGGTTTGGATTCGGGTCGGGTGCGGGTCAATCCGGAGTGCTGGGGATGGGTTGAAATTAAAACTGTCAGGGATGCCTGGTGTCTCACCCTAACAGCACCATCCACTCTCTCCTAAACAGTGCTTACGTGACCGTCTCCCCTCTAAGCCGTGAGGTGTCGAGCTGCGATGGCACCTCTCTCCTCTCTGTGCCCCCTAGGCTCAGCACCGTGCAGGTGCAAGTTAATGTTTATTGAGAACGTGATGAATGGAAGGCGAATGCATGGTTAGAAGACGAGTGAATGAGTAACAGGACTCTGGTTAGAAAAGGAATTTGAAGAGTCAAGATCTGGAAGACGGGAAAGTTTCCAAAGACTTCCGCTGCGCGCAGGCGGGGGGGGCTCGGGAAGGGCAGGTACTTCACAGGTCGAGACGCGATTGGCCGCCTGGGAAGGTAGCTGTGCCATCGGCTGCTAAGCGCTGGCCTCAGGGGAGCTGCTGTCATTCAACCGGCCCCCAGCGGCGCTGCGGCTCGCGGCCGGGGTGAACGGCCAGGCCTGCGCCGCCGTTGCCATAGCTACAGACGCAAGCCGGCGAGGGGGCGGGCCCGGGGCGCCCGGCATTCCTGGCGCGACGCTCCTCCGCGCTCCCGCCTCCTGGTCGGAGACCCTCGGCCCGCCTCGCGGACGCTCCACCTGCGCGGCGGCTTCCCGCTCCCCCACCCCGGTCTGCGCCGGCGCGGTACCAAGGCGCGCGGGGGAGCTGCGAGGCGCATGCGCGGTGCGGAGCCCTCCGCTCTGCTGCTGTCGCTGCCGCTGCCTCTGCCGTCGCAGCCGTTGCCGTTACCGTCTCCCTGCCGGCAAGTGTGTGAAGAAGGAGCTAAGGGTCGCCGCCGCTGCCGCCGCCGCTATGGGGGTGAGTGAGGCTGAGGAGACGGGAGGTTCAGGGGCGCTCCTCGCTACCCTCACCCCCTTTGTTCTTAAACCCCCCCTCACGTGACCCCAACCCCCTCCAGCTTCACGTGACCCTTTGCCCCCATTTGACCCGACTCCCCGATTCTAAGGGTCCCCACGCTAGGCCTAGCCCGGGAATCCTCTGGAGAGCCTCTAGTCCGGGGCCCCACCCCCTCGCCGCCCCCAGCGTCACGCCAGCCCCTTCCTGCCTCGCGGACCCCTTACCGGCCTCCCCACCCCCGTCGCCAGCGCGGACCCTGCGATTAGCTTCCCGCTCCCCCGGGGTCACTCATCACCTGGCAGTCACCAGCTTCGCCGCTTTCACATCCGAGGTCAACCCTGGCTTGGAGGGAATTGAGGCCCAGAGGAAAGAAGGCGCCTAGCCAAGGTCACACTGGCTGGGGCGTCAGACCCCACTTTGAGTCAATCGAATCCCAGTCCACTGCACTTCCCGCTACTCGAGTCTCAGCGAAGCCAGTTCCCCTACACTGTGGGGAAACCTCTCCAGCAGGTTCCTGCTGCTCTTGATAAACACAGCCTTCCCTTCCCTTCCCATAGACTCCTGTCTTGACGCCTACTGGTTGCAGTGAAGTGGTTCTTAGGACCACTTGGGTTGTTAGGAGTTTGGGTAGTGCAGATGCTTTTGCAAGGGGAGGGCTGTGCAGGTGAGCCGAGAAGATGCGGGGAAGGCGGGGGCGGAGGCCGCGGATGGATATTGACCACCTGTTCCGGCCGGCAGCCTGGGGGTGCATTTTGGTTTACTTTCCCAGCATATAGGGTAGGGCAGAAGTTGTTTGCAAGTTTCTGTGCGTTCACCGTGCTAATTCTTAATTACAGCAGTATCAGTCACCCTCTTTAAAAGATAACGTCCTCCCTGGTGCTAGCTATATTAGTTTTTTTTTTTTTTTTTGAGATGGAGTTTCGCTCTTGTTACCCAAGCTGGAGTGCAGTGGCGCGATCTCGGCTCACCGCAACCTCCGCCTCCTAGGTTCAAGTAATTCTCCCTGCCTCAGCCTCCCGAGTAGCTGGGACTACAGGCATGTGCCACCATGCCCAGCTAATTTTTTGTATTTTTTAGTAGAGACAGGGTTTCACCATGTTGACCAGGATGGTCTCGATCTCTTGATCTCGTGATCCACCCGCCTCGGCCTCCCAAAGTGCTGCGATTACAGGCTTGAGCCACCGCGCCCGGCCTAGTTTTTTTTTTGAGACCGAGTTTTGCTCTTGTCGCCCAGGCTGGAGTGCAATGGTGCGATCTTGGCTCACTGCAACCTCCTCCTGGGTTCAAGCGATTCTCCTGCCTCAGCCTTCCTAGCAGCTGGGATTACAGGCGCCTGCCACCACACCTGGTTAATTTTTGGATTTTTAGTAGAGACGAGGTGTCACCATGTTAGCCAGGCTGGTCTCGAACTCCTCAGAAGTCTACCCGCCTGGGCGTCCCAAAGTGCTGGGATTATAGGTGTGAGCCACCACGCCCATATGGAATTTCCATCACTTAAGGGAACCCTGACTTTGGAGGTACCTCAATTCCAGCTTCATCTTTGCTGCTGCCGGTATAATATTGTGCCAATGAGTTGGCCTTGATGTGTTTGTTTGTTTGTTTGTTTGAGACGGAGTTTCGCTCTTGTTACCCAGGCTGGAGTGCAATGGTGCGATCTCGGCTCACCGCAACCTCCGCCTCCTGAGTTCAGGCAATTCTCCTGCCTCAGCCTCCTGAGTAGCTGGGATTACAGGCACGCGCAACCACGCCCAGCTAATTTTTTGTATTTTTAGTAACGACGGGTTTCAGCTTGTTGACCAGGATGGTCTCGATCTCTTGACCCCGTGATCCACCCACCTCGGCCTCCCAAAGTGCTGGGATTACAGGCTTGAGCCACCACGCTTTGATGTGTTTTAATTTCCTCACCTGTGTGAGGGATGTGGGGATGCAGATACCTCCCCCTTAGGTTGGTAGTGAAGATTAAGTGAGATAATGGATGTGGATTACTAAGGAGGTGTCTCCTAAATAGTGGCTGTTATTTTTGCCTGTATCCTCAGCCTTCACTTTACTGATCTAAAATAGATTTGTGCTATTTTTAACTGTTGTTAACCTAGTTTTTTTCCCCTCCAATATTTGTCGACTGAACAAATCAACATATTAGACAAAAATAGTTGTCTATGTCAAAACAGTCATCATGTTTTACCAAAGATTTTTGGGTATTACATACTTCATATGTAGAAAACCAAGTCTAGAGATTTAGGCATATTTAACCTAGATTTTGGTGAAAGGTCCTAGATGCAGCCATTGTTGAAACTAAATGAAAACCGTGTCCCGGGTGTCGCTTAGTAACTGTCTAACCAGAAGCAGGCACTACGGATTCAGCAGAAAACAAGAAGTGTAACGTGACATTTTACTTCAACACTTCCTCATTGGTTGGGTCGAAATAGCAGGCCCTCCACTCCATTAGACAGGGTGAGGGAAAAAATAAGAAATATGCCCCAGAGATTCCGTGATCCTTGCTTCCTTTAGGGCCTCAATCTGATTACTTAAACTTTTTTTTTTTTTTTTTTTTTTGAGACGGAGTTTTGCTATTGTTACCCAGACTGGAGTGCAATGGCACGATCTCGGCTCACTGCAACCTCTGACTTCTGGGTTCAAGCAGTTCTCCTGCCTCAGCCTCCCATGTAGCTGGGACTACAGGAGGCCAAGGCAGGCAGATCACCAGGTCAGGAAATCGAGACCATCCTGGCTAACACAGTGCAACCCTGTCTCTACTAAAAATACAAAAAATCATCCAGGCATGGTGGCGGACTACTCCCAGTTACTTAGGAGGCTGAAGCAGGAGAATCGCTTGAACCCAGGAGGTGGAGGTTACAGTGAGCAGAGATCACACCACTGCACTCCAGCCTGGGTGACAGAGCAAGACTCCATCTCAAAAAAAAAAAGGCCAGGCGAGGTGGCTCATGCCTATAATCCCAGCACTTTGGGAGGCCGAGGTGGGTGGATCACGAGGTCAAGAGATCGAGACCATCCTGGTCAACGAGGTGAAATCCCGTCTCTACTAAAAATACAAAAATTAGCTGGGCATGGTGGTGTGCGCCCAAAGTGCTGGGATTACAGGCATGAGCCACCGAGCTCCGCTTATTACTTACGCTTTACAGATGTGTTTCTCACATCAGACCTACAAAGTCTCTTCTGGCCTAAAATTCACAGTAACAGAGACTTGAATTGTCCTCCCCGAAACAGCTGGAACGATCTCATCACCCTCATTCCACAACTGTGGGTGCTGGGGAGTCATCATTCCTTGTAGTCACCCTGTGGCAGAGGGCTGGGCTCCACTTGACAGCCTGGCCTCAGGCTGAGTGAGGCTTCAGATGGAGGCTTTCTCTTCAGTTGCCACACATGTGTCCTGGTCGCCACACATGTGTCGTCTTTCAGGAATTAGAATTTGCATTTCTCTTGCTTCACCAAAAACAGGTTCATTTTGGATACTGGATACTATATGAGATGGAGACATTGATACTGAAAACCTCAGAGATGCCGAATTCCTTTTCTGAAAGGTGCCTCCTCCTCCCATCTGGACATTTTTTTCTTTTTTTTCTATTTATTTATTTTTATTTTTGGAGACAAAGTTTTGCTCTTGTTGCCCAGGCTGGAGTGCGTGGCACAGTCTCAGCTCCCTGCAACTTCTGCCCCCCAGGTTCAAGCCGTTCTCCTGCCTCAGCCTCCCAAGTAGCTGGGATTATAGGCATCCGCCACCACATCCAACTAATTTTTTTGTATTTTTTGTAGAGATGAGGTTTCAGCATGTTGGCTAGGCTGGTCTTGACTTCCTGACCTCAGGTGATCCACTCGCCTTGGCCTCCCAAACTGCTGGGATTACAGGCATAAGCCACCTTTTTTCATTTGTCTTTATGACCTCTTACAGTCGTAGAACTGTGTGTGGACTTGCTTCTTCGATGGGAATAGTAAGGGGAGGAGTTTTGCACTGCACAGGAAAATATTTATAAAACCCTTTATAACAAAAAGTGCCATATAAACATAATTGTGACAAAGTGGAAGGAGCATGGACTTTAGGTTCAAATGTGGGTTTGAATCTTGGATGATTCATTCAGCAGCTATGATCTGAGTGCCTGCTGTTTGGTGAGCACTGGGTGAATATAGGCAGATAAAGTGGATCTACCCTTGCAGCATGGGGCAGAGTCGAGGGAGTGAGGAGGGAGTGGGAGGAAGAGCAGCTTCGAGAACTCTCCTCACCGGCTCTGTGTCCAGTCTCTGTGCCTCAGACTTCTCATCAAAGAAGTAGTCACACCTACCATGCTGGGTTGTGAAGATTAGATTGATCACCCTTATGGAAGCACCGGCAGAATGTCTGAGGGAGGTCCCTGTAAACAGAATCCCTTCCTGCAGCTGCTGGTGTAGGCATTGTGAGCCCCATTTTATGGATAAGAAAACTGTGAGTCAGAGAAATTTGGAGTAACTTGATGAAAAGAGCTCAAGTAACTTGCCCGAAGTCACATAGCTATTAAGGGAAAGAGCTGAGAATCAAATCCAAGTCTTTTGACTCAAAATCCTGCACTCTCTCTTTTTTTTTTTACAAAGCTCCCTTGGGAAAGACACTTAACCACAGTGAGCTTTACTGTTCATTGTGCTTATTTCTCATTTTAATTAGGAGCATTTTCTCGTGCCTTCATAGGACAGCCTCACCTCCATAAGGCAGGGGCAAAGCTATTTGGAATAGTAGGAGACCACTTTTCCTAGTGTGGCCCCTCCCTGCGGTCTGCCCAGCTGGCTGCACCCTGCCTCATGCCCCGTGGGCAGGCGGTGGAGCACATAAGGGGTTCTTGAGTTACCGCAGTCTCAGGTCATGGCAGCCCCAGGCCTTGCTTTGAGGATTGCCTAGCTTGCCAGGTCTGCATGAATGAGCCTACAGATCTCCTGGAGGCCAGACTGGCCCTCCTGCTGCTTGTGCTTAGGAATTACTTCTCATACTTAGAAATGAGATAGAGGGAACCCAGGCTTCAGTGCTTTCTGAGTTCTGGGCGTCACCCTTGCCCTCCAGCACCTTTGGTCCTTGAGCCCTGTATTGTGGTAAGAGAGCAAGCATGTAGGGTAAAGGAAGGGAACTTGTACCCACTCTGAAGGTGTGCTGGCTCCTAATCTGCCCTTACAGCTCCAAGAGGTCAGCATTTGCACCCGCATCTTCATGGAGATGGAGTTGCTTTCACAAGTCATTCTAGGGGTGGCAGGAAGAGCATAGGCCCGGTCTGATTGATGCCAAAGCTCATGCTCTTCTGCCCCATGGTGCAGCCCTGGAGACCTTCTATCCGAGGCTTCTCTGTTCCATCTCTGCCTCGGTGCTGAGGGTAGGGCCTGTACCGGCACTGTATTGGCACGCTGTTAACAAACCAGCTAGGCAATGAGAAAGGAGTTGCCAAGTGTTTGCTGAGGGCTCCTGAAGCCCAGGTGTTATCTTGGCAGGGTGCAAGAATCTTTGTTGATGATGGAGTGGAAGTCCACTCTGCAGGATGTGGGTGCCTCAGTAGGAGACAGTGTGTAACAAGCATGAGCTGCAGTCCATCCTGGGACTGAGTCTCCCTCTGCCCCTCTTCACTGCACAACTCTTGAGTGGTCAAATTGTCCCTTCAAGCCTCAGTTTCCTATTGTGTAAAGGGAGGTGATAGTTTCTGCCCTGAGAATTGAAACACATAACGTAGGCTGGGCGGTGTGGTGCCTCACGCCGGTAATCCCAGCACTTTGGGAGGCCAAAACAGGAGGATTGCTTGAGCCCAGGAGTTTGAGACCAGCCTGGGCAACATAGTGAGACTCCCCCTATCTCTCAAAAAATAAAAAGAAACATAATGTTTATAAAAGCACTTTGCAAGCTGTATCTCGTTGTTGTCTTGAAACCCACATTTCCAGAGAAAAAGATAAATACTCTAAGCCTATCCATGGTAGAGGGAGGATGGTTCTGTCCCAGGAGTCCAGCCTTATGCAGACAGCCCATTCTCTGGTTTGTTCCTTCCTCTAAGGAGGTAAGACAGGAGATCTTGCCTGTGTTCCACACAACGCTCAGCCATGAGATGATTAGTAACTGGTGTTGGTAGAGTTTGTGCCTATGAGAGCAATCCCTGTAAGTTCCTGGTGAGTTCTTTCTTGGCTGATTAAAGCAGGAGGTAAACTGTCATTCTTTGGAAAATCGAGGGTAGAATTGATTCTGAGAACTTCCCCAGCAGCTGGTTTTTCAACTCATGCAGAAGAGTTAATCCCTCTGAGTGTCCTTTCCTGGGGCCAGTCTGTGTTAGGGCTAGATGTAATTGGGGGTTATCAAACCTCTAAAAAGAGCTTGGGGAAAGGAGGGGTAGGAGGTGTCAAAAGAGGCTGCTCTATTGGTAAAAAGCAGAGCCAGCTTACCAGTGCCTTTGGAGTGCCTTCTGGGGACTGGCTGGGTGGCATGGGCCCTCTGTGCTCTCAGGTTGCCTGCGGGAGAGAGAATGAGAACGGCTGTTTATTGAACACATATCCTATTGACCCTCATGGGGATCCTCACTCATCAGGCCATGGGAGGAGGCTTGAAGTGCTGTGTCTTGTCCTAATACTGCGGGGGCGTGGAGAGCAGGAAGAGGCTTTGATGGCTCCCACCTGAGCAGCTGGATTACTTGAGGTCAGGAGTTCGAGACCAGCCTGGCCAACATGGTGAAACCCTGTCTACTAAAAATACAAAAATTAGGCCAGACGCGGTAGTTCACACCTTTAATCCCGGCAATTTGGGAGGCCAAGGTGGGTGGACCACCTGAGGTCAGGAGATCAAGACCAGCCTGACCAACATGGTGAAATCTGTCTATATTAAAAAAAAAACAACAACAACAGATAAAAGAAGCCGGGCACAGTGGCTCACGCCTGTAATCCCAGCACTTTGGGAGGCTGAGGCGGGTGGATCACTAGGTCAAGAGATCAAAACCATTCTGGCCAACATGGTGAAACCCCGTCTTTAAAAAAAAATTAGCAGGGCGTGGTGGTACATGCCTGTAATCCCAGCTACTCGAGAGGCTGAGGCAGGAAAATCCCTTGAACCCGGAGGCAGAGGCTGCAGTGAGCCTAGATCATGCCACTGTATTCCAGCCTGGGCAATAGAATGAGACTCCATCTCAAAATATATATATATATAAAGGAGGCTTTCTTCAGTGCGCCTGAAGAAAGAAAGAAAAAAAAGGAGGCTTTAGATGAAGTCTGCCAGACTTCAGAGCCTGGCTCTTGCCCTGTGTTACCCAGCTTTTCACAATAGGGTGAGCAGGTCTTAGGCCTGAGAGAATCCCGCCTTGGCCTCAAACCAGGACCTGCTCTAGAAACAGCTGTGGGTGATTTGCCGTTCTCTGCTCTGTGCCAGGAGAATCCCCCTTTGCTGCTCCTCTGCTGCGAGCTGCTGACTGCCTGCAACTTCGTCTTGCTGACCACGTGTCACCTCTGTCCTGAGGTGAACCCCTTGGGCCCCTGTCCTCAGCCCTTTGGCTAGCATATAGTGTGCCTGCCACTCATTGGCCTTAACTGAGCAGGGCTTCTCGGAATGGCTATGTGTCTTAGAGTCAGAAGATGGCCCCCACTTTAATGAGACCCCACTCCCACAGGAGCTGTGGCCGACCAGATCTTTGTCTCCCAAAGCCAGAAGACACTGAAAAGGGTTTGAATGAACTTACACTTAGGAACAGCCTCAGCGACTCCCTCAGATGCCGCATCCTCCCTGAGGCAGTCTTCAGTGTGCCTAGAGTTGGATGTTCCCTCTTCAGTGAGTGAATGTTTACTAGGCGCCTGCTGGGGACTGGCCTGCTGCAGCCACTGTCTGCTGTCTCACTGGTCCCCACAGTGTCTGTGTCAGGAGGGCCACTGCTCTTCCTGAGGGGAAGCTGAGAAGTCTGGTGACCTCTGAGGACTTCCTGCTACCAAGTGACCTTGTTGGGTCTTCCCCGGCCCTCCAAATGTGTGGCAGCCGAGGTGGGAAGTTTCTTGCTGCTGGGCCAGGCCTGTGGATGCAGGGCCCTTTGGTTCCTCAAAGGGAAAATCAGTGTTTGATTGGCCACAGCCCTTCAAGCTAACGTTGCTTTTCCCTGTTGCAGAGAAAGTCAAGCAAAGCCAAGGAGAAGAAGCAGAAGCGGTTGGAGGAGCGAGCAGCCATGGATGCCGTTTGTGCCAAAGTGGACGCTGCCAACAGGGTGACTCTCCCTTTCTTCCCAGTCCTTGCCTCCTGGGACTTCCACTTGGTTTATGATTTGGCCTATTTTGTCGCCACCCTGTGGCAGAATTGTGACACTACCCACCCACACCTCTGCCTCCTTGCTGTTCAGAAAACTGAGCTCATACCTGTGTGTTGGGAGGAGGCGCCAGCAGTTGGCCCAGGTGTTTAGGAAAATGTGGATTCCAGTGAAGCAGCTGCCTCCCTGTGGATCTTCTTCCTTATGGATAGAGGAGGATCTAGATAATTTTAAAAAATCTTTTTATGAGAGAGTGTTTCACTCTGTCATTCAGCTGAAATGCAGTGGCACGATCTTTGCTCACTTCAGCCTTGCAACCTCTGCCGCCTGGGCCCAAGTGATCCTCCCACCTCAGCCTCTCAGCTAGCTGGGACTACAGATGCCTGCCACCACACCTGGCCCATTTTTGTAGAGATGGGGTTTGGCCATGTTGCCCAGGATGGTCTTGAACTCCTGAGCTCAAGCATTTCACCTGCCTTAGCCTCCCAAAGTGCTGGGATTACAGGCATGAGCCACAGTGCCCAGCCCCTGCCTCATTTAGTATCCCATTTTTTGGTTATTCTTTTAGCCCACTCATAGTAAACACTCCACATTTATAAGGGTGTGGCTCAGGGACATGATTTTCCATCTGGAGTTTTAAGCAGGTGAAGGCAGTGGAGGCTTTTAAGAAGTGTGCAGGCAGATCAGATGGCCTCTCTGCTTTGGGTTAGCTGTGTTCTGAGCAGGTAGTATGCCCACAGGCCAATGAACAGGTGATGCCAAACTTAACTCTCCTGGGCTTCCCCACCAAAGCCTTCCTCGCACATGTGACTTCAGAGCCAGGCAGATGGAGGGTCTGTAAGGCTGCAGCTAGTCTCCCGTTGTGGGTCCCCACAGCGTCCCACTCCAAGACAATAGCTCTTGGGACAGGGCCTGCACCTCTGCCACACGTGTCTGTGCTAGTCCTCTTTTCTTTCCCTCCACAGCTCGGAGACCCTCTGGAAGCTTTCCCAGTGTTCAAGAAATATGATAGAAATGGGTGAGTCATATTGAGCATTACCAACTGCTGTCTGCTTGAGTATCTTCAGGAATTCCCCTTCCAGAGTGGGCTTCCTCAGACCCACATTTTCTTTCTTCTTCATATTATGAAAAAGCAGAAACTGGCTTATCCCCCAGGTAGGGTGACAGGAATCCATAAATGAGCAAAGATTGCTCTTAATCTCAAAGATGTCTTTTTGTTTTTGTTGTCTTTGGTTGTTTTTTTTGTTTTTTTTGAGATAGAGTTTAGCTCTTGTTGCCCAGGCTGGAGTGCAATGGCGTGATCTCAGCTCACTGCAACCTCTACCTCCCAGGTTCAAGCGATTCTCCTGCCTCAGTCTCCTGAGTACCTGGGATTACAGGCACCACCACGCCCAACTAATTTTGTATTTTTAGTAGAGACGGAGTTTCTCCATGTTGGTCAGGCTGATCTCAAACTCCCAACCTCAGGTGATCCGCCCGCCTCGGCCTCCCAGAGTGCTGGGATCACAGGCATGAGCCACCACGCCCAGCCTGATGTCTTGTTAGATAAATATATGTGTGTGTGTGTGTGTGTGTGTATGTGTGTGTGTATGTGTGTGTATTTGCCACTCTACACGTAACATCTTTGACCATAGAGATAAATATTTATTTATTTTTTGAGATGGAAGCTTGCTCTGTCACCTAGGCTGGAGAGTAGTGATGTGATCTCAGCTCACTGCAGTCTCCATCTCCTTGGTTCAGCGATTCTCCTGCCTCGGCTTCCTGAGTCGTTGGGATTACAGGTGCATGCCACCACACCCAGCTAATTTTTGTATTTTTATTAGAGACAGGGTTTCACCATCTTGGACAAGTGGGTCTTGAACTCCTGACCTTGTGATATACTCACCTCGGCCTTCCTAAGTGCTGGGATTACAGGTGTGAGCCACTGCACTTGGCTAAATTTAGTATTTTTAATAGAGATGGGGTTTCACTGTGTTGGCCAGGCTGGTCTTGAACTCCTGGCCTCAAGTGATCCACCTGCCTCAGCCTTCCAAAGTGCTGGGATTACAGGCATGAGTACCGTGCCTGGCCTAATGTCTCTTTAGTACTGATGATTCTCTCTTTACAAAGAATTATTGAGCTGAAGCAAACTTGGAAAATTATCTAGGCTGACACTCACATTTAACTCATGGGAAACTGAGGCTCAGAGAAGTCAAATGAGCTTTCTGAGTTTATGGAGTTTCCCTCTGACAGCTGAGGGGTCTTTTAATTTCCAATCTAGTGATCTTTCCCTGAGTATATAGTATAATTGTTAAAAGCCACTTACTGGCTATTTGGCCCTGAGCAAATTACTTTTTCTCATATATATATATATATATATATATATATATATATACACACACACACATATAAATTTTGGTCTCACTACATTGCCTAGGCTGGTCTCAAACTCCTGTCCTCAAGTGATTCCCCCACCTAAAGTGCTGCACCTAGCAGACCCTCAACAAATTACTTAACCTCTCTGTTCCTCAGTTTTCTGGTAAAAAATGGGCCTAGGCCAGATGTGGTGGCTCACACCTATAATCCCAGAACTTTGGGAGGCTGAGGTTGGGAAGATCATTTGTGCTTAGGAATCTAAGACCAGCCCTGGCAGCATAGGAAGACCCTGTCTCTACAAAAAAAAAATTTTTTTTAATTAGCTGGGCATGGTGGCACATGCCTGTAGTCCCAGCTACTGAGGAGGCTGATGTGGGAGAATTGCTTGAGCCTGGGAGATGGAGGCTGCAGTCAGCCGTGGTGGCACCATTGCACTCTAGTCTGGGTGACAGCAAGATGCTGTCTAAAAACAAATCCAACAATGGTTCTAATAATAGTACCTCTCTCATGGAGTGTCAGGAGGATAAGATGCAGAGTGTTAGTTCCTGCAGCATAATGAAAACTAGATAAGTGTTTGCTGTTATTTTATTTTGGATTGGGGGGTACATGTACAGATATCTTGTGTAATAGTGGGGTTGGGTATCTAGTGTCCCATCACCCAAATAGTGACCATTGTACCCAGTAGGTCAGCTTTCACCCCTAACCCTGTTTGCTGTTATTATTGCTGATCCAGTTAACTACAGGCCATGGATTGAAAGCTTCCTCACCTTTTTTTTGTCCTTTTGGTATCTAAAATAGGAGGCATAATCTGCCTTAGTTGAAATGCTGTTGATGAGTTGTGCTTCCAGAATATAACATCTTGGCTTGGGGATGAACAAGGGCTGTGGCTTCTCTGTGCTGGGGGTTGGATTATAGCTGGCTTGCTTATTAACTCTATTTGGAGAAGTCGCTCATACTCTTCAAGCCTTATTTTCTTACCTGTCAGATAGGATTATGCCAAACTTGCAAGGTTGTTTTAAGAAGGAAACAGAATATATTCGGCTCAGTAAGTAACAGCTGGTATGGGTATTGTTTTTTTTTTTGAGGTGGAGTCTCACTCTGTGCCTAAGCTGGAGTGCAGTGGTGCAGTCTTGGCTCATTACAGCCTCTGCCTCTTGGGTTCCAGCAGTTCCCCTGCATTAGCCTCCTGAGTAGCTGGGACTATAGACACTATCATGCTGGGCTAATATTTGTATTTTTAGTAAAGATGGGGTTTCACCATGTTGGCCAGGCTGGTCTTGAACTCCTGACCTCGAGTTATCCATCCACGTTGGCCTCCCAAAGTGCCAGGATGGCAGGTGTGAGCCACCGCTCCTGGTCTCTGAAAAGTCTTTTGACATGCTTTAGAGATCCCATATTGTGATGTCTCTTAGTGTTTCCATATTTCACATTCCCACCGACTTCCAGAAATGTGTTAGCTCCAAAACAGGCGTTGCCAGCCAACTCTGGGCTCCTCTGGTGCCTTGAATTTTGTGTGATTCCTGTAGCTGTGATCTTACTTTCATGTTCTTTTTTTTTTTTTTTTTGAGACGGTGTTTCGCTCTTGTTACCCAGGCTGGAGCGCAATGGCGTGATCTCAGCTCACCGCAACCCCCGCCTCCTGGGTTCAGGCAATTCTCCTGCCTCAGCCTCCGGAGTAGCTGGGATTACAGGCACGCGCCATCGTGCCCAGCTAATTTTTTTGTATTTTTAGTAGAGACAGGGTTTCACCTTGTTGACCAGGATGGTCTCGATCTCTTGACCTCGTGATCCACCATCTCGGCCTCCCAAAGTGCTGGAATTACAGTCATGAGCTACCATGCCCGGCCGATATGGGAGCTTTTTAAAGGCTTAGCGTTTGCTGACTCTAGTCCTTTCAGAGTGTAGTGCTATCTAGAGAATGTGATTTCACAGATTGGTCAAGGAGTTTAACTGCTTTTTACTTAAATTTCATTTAGAAACAGATACCTTAACATCTGTGGCATTTGTGGATTTAGAAAAATAGTGTTGTACTGGAGCCTGCTTCACTCCGTTTTTTTTGTTTGTTTGTTCACTCTTGTTGTCCAGGCCGGAGTGCAGTGATGATCTCAGCTCACTGCAACCTCTGCCTCCCAGGTTCAAGCGATTCTCCTGCCTCAACCTCCTGAGTAGCTGGGATTACAGGCATGTGCCACCATGCCCAGCTGATTTTGTATTTTTAGTAGAGACGGGGTTTCACCATGTTGGCCAGCTTCTGGCCTCAGGTGATCCACATGCCTCGGCCTCCCAAAGTGCTAGGATTACAGGTGTGAGCCACCATGTCAACCTCACCCTGTTGATTAGCTGAGAGTATCCCCCTTCCTCAGATGAAGCAGACAGGACTCCTGGCATGGGTGGGCGGGTTTGGGGTGTGTTGAATTATAGTCTTCTTGAAGGACCTTGGGTCACCCAGGGGTTTTGAAGGCGAGATTGGTAGATAAGAGGAAAGGGGTCCCATGGGAGTACAGTGAGGAGTCAGTTCAGAAATTACAGCAACAGGAAAAATGCCTAAGGGCAGGAACGAAATAACAGAAGACATGAGTGTTTATAGCAAAGTACAGAAGAGACAGAAAAGGTGGGAAAAGAATAAAGAGGTAGCAGAGAGAGACAAGAAGTTTACAAAGTGCCGAGGCAGATAAGGACATCCTGGGGAGGCAGGAGGCAGGCCTTGTGGTGGGGGGTGGGCTTCGTGGCCACAATTCTTAATCTCAGCCTGAAAGACTTCGTTCCTGCAAGGCACCTTCTCTGGTCATGCTGGGGAAGGTACAGGGTTGGCTCTTCTCTGTAGATAACAGAGACCAGGCCCTCTTCCCTGGAGCCTTTGAGTGGGGAACAGCAGTGTCCTGGCAGGAGCACTGTAACCCATTCAAGCACCACCTGTTCTTCTCAGGTTGAATGTCTCCATTGAATGTAAGCGAGTGTCTGGACTAGACCCTGCCACCGTGGACTGGGCCTTCGACCTGACCAAAATGAATATGCAAACCATGTAAGCGTATCCTGGTGAGGGAGCCTAGTTCCTCTCGCCTTCCCTGTCTGACTGCTCCCAAATTCCCCAGGTATGAGCAGAGCGAGTGGGGCTGGAAGGACCGAGAGAAACGGGAGGAAATGACAGATGACCGAGCCTGGTACCTCATTGCTTGGGAAAACAGTTCCGTCCCTGTTGCCTTTTCTCACTTCCGGTTTGACGTGGAGTGCGGGGATGAAGTCCTGTACTGGTAGGAGCCATGGCTTGGGGGAGGTCAGGGAGAGAGACCCTGGTGAATCCAGGCACTCACTCCAGCCTACCTAGGTCTGTGGGCTGCCAGGAACTGCAAGCTCCTCTGCCAGCCCTTACAGCCTCCTCATGCTCATCCTGCAAGCTCACCTCTCTGCTTTCTTCACCTAGCTATGAAGTGCAGTTGGAAAGCAAGGTGCGGCGGAAAGGCCTGGGGAAGTTCCTCATACAGATCCTGCAGCTCATGGCCAACAGGTAAGGCCCCTGCTTCTTAGGAGGCCCGTGCAGCACTCAGTTGCAGGGAGCTGTCACTGAGGCACTTGCTATTCTTTGAGCTTCGTTGGAGGGCCAGGCTCCTAGGCATGTTTTGTGAGAAAGGTGTCTTAGAACCCTCTCAGTAAGACACTCCCTGCCTTGTTATGACTCCAGATTTTGTATGTTCACCTCAGCAAAGAAAAATCTTTTGAGTTCCTAAGCTGTGCCACATTCTGTACCTAAGTAATGGGGCTACAGAGGGAAAGTGGGAAAGATCCCTACTCTGGAAGAAGCCAGTCTGGTCAGGGCTGATGCTTCTGCAGTCTCATCAACCTGTGAAGGAGGGAAGCAATGAGTGCTATGGGGGTCCAAGACCTCTGGAGGCTAGAGGCCAAGTTCAGGAACACTTCTTTGGGTGAAAGGGAGGTAAGAGAGACAGAAAAGAAAGGAAGCATGACCTTAGTCTCTGTTTTTCCTGTTTTTTTTTTTCCGAGACAGTCTCACACTCTGTCACCTAGGCTACAGTGCAGTGGTGTGATCATATCTCACTGTAGCCTCTACCTCTGAGCCTCAAGCAGTCCTCTGGCCTCAGCCTCCAGAGCAGCTGGGACTATAGGCATATGCCACCATACTGGGCTAATTTTTTAAATTTTTAAAATGTTTTGTAGAGACAGAGTCCAACACTGTTGTCCAGTCTGGTCTCCCAACTACTGGGCTCAAGTGATCTTCCCACCTCAGCCTCCCAAAGTGCTGGGATTACAGGTGCAAGCCACCACGCCTGGCCATGTTTCTCTTTCTAAAAGGTGCTTGCTCTGCTTTCTTCCAGCACACAGATGAAGAAGGTTATGTTAACAGTATTTAAACACAATCATGGCGCCTACCAGTTCTTCAGAGAAGCGTTGCAGTAAGGAGCTGGGTGTGGGTCCTTCTGGGTGGTAGGTGGGCCTGCTGAGGACCATTTTTCTGGTCCTGGCCCCCACTCATCCTGATACCTGAGCTCACAGTCCAGTGGCATGGGGGTTCAGGTTTGGGGAGATGGTATGGTAGTGCCCTCTGACTTGGTCCCCTGCCCTCCTCCTGCACCTTCATCCAAGGGCCTTATCGGTGTGGCTAGTAGAAGAGTCCTCGGGCCAGGGAGGAAGGCATATTCAGCTCCCTGCCACCAACTCTTCTCTCCTGCCTGCCTTGCAGATTTGAAATTGATGACTCTTCCCCCAGCATGTCCGGTTGCTGTGGGGAGGATTGCTCCTATGAGATCCTGAGCCGGAGGACCAAGTTTGGGGACAGCCAACACTCCCACGCGGGTGGGCACTGTGGTGGCTGCTGCCACTGAACTCTCAGAGCCACTTGCAAGTCACAGTGCTCTCTCCTAAGGCCTTTCCTCTTTCCTGGTCTCACCGTTTGCCAGGTGCCCTCAGAGCTGTAGCCTCCCCAGCCCTGCATGTGCCAGGCTGCAGCCTGAGAGCACAGAATCCTGGAGAGAAGTGGTATGAGCTGCTGCTCCTCCTCTCCTAGGAGACCAGAGTGCCAGGAGGGAATGAAGGGGAGAGGGAGGAGTGGGTGGGCCTGACTGTGAAGCTCATCCTCCACGGCGGCTGCCTCCTCACTTGGCTCCTGGGCCCTGCAGTGGAAGTTCTCCCACCACTGCAGCCCCTAGATTCCTGGCACCGTCCCTGCTCCCATACACACACACTTGGACAAATGGAATGTTTATGCCCACCTTTATGAAAGTTCTGGAGTCCTGGGTCTAGGGTTTGCTGATCCCCAAAGAGGAACACACTGGTTATAAGATCTGGGCATACAGGGAGGCTTCAGAGAGACTCACGCTTTCACAGATGGAATGCTCCTATGGAGACCATGGGAAGATCTTTTGTGCCAAGACGCAGGGAAGTGAAGAAAGCTCTTTCCAGCTGTTTTTATGGATTCACGGAGTGGGCTCATGTTGGGACCAGCTGACTCGAGGAAGACTGCTTCTCTCCATCGCTGTCAGTGAGAGAGCCTGAAAGGACCAGGAATGAGGTGTTCTGTGGGGCCCGCTGTGGGGATGATCTTCTCTAGGCTCCTGGACTTGGCTGCATTCTGAGCTTAACCTCCGGCTGCTTTCTGAGCTTAACCTCCTGGTCTCATGTCAGTCACTTGAGCTTTTGATTCATAGAAGAAAGCCAGAGGTTCTGCTTGTTCATGTCTGCCAGCCCTCACCGTTATTTCTCCTCTGCCTCTCGCCTCTACCCTAGATACCTCTGTTCTTAGTCTTAAGGGGAGAATAACATCAGGGAGCCCCTTGTCATTCCCAGAAGGACTTCTCTTTCCTCCAATAGTTAACTCCATTTCTTGTCTTCTCTTGGTGCTGATCGCTCTCTAAGGGTAGGGCATCCCTCCCTGTGGCCACTCGCCCTCTTCAGAGAGCCCCCAGCCAGCAGCAGGCCCCTCTGCCTGCACTCCTCAGCCTTGCCCCTCACTGCCTCAGTGAGGCACTAGTGCCACTGCCATGGCCTAGCCGGGCCATAGCTCAGCTGCAGCAGGAATGCCTCTCAGTGGCCAAAACAGCTGCTTTTGTCTCTGGTGTTACCCTGTGGCAACAGGCTGGAGCAGGGGAAGGAGAAAGCCTTCTCTTCTCTTACAGAATAGAGAGGATGCAGGCTCAGAGCTAATGCTCATCCTGATCTCCAGGCCTTGTTCCTCTTCCAGGAAAGAAAAACCAAATCCTGGCCGGGCGCAGTGGCTCACGCCTGTAATCCCAGCACTTTGGGAGGCCGAGGTGGGCGGATCACGAGGTCAAGGGATCGAGACTATCCTGGCCAACATGGTGAAACCCCATCTCTACTAAAAGTACAAAAAATTAGCCGGGCATGGTGGTGCATGCCTGTTGTCCCAGCTACTCGGGAGGCTGAGGCAGGAGAATTGCTTGAAACCGGAAAACGGAAGTTGCAGTGAGCCAGGATCGTGCCACTGCACTCCAGCCTGGCAACAGAGCAAGACTCTGTCTCAAAAAAAAAAAAAAAAAAAAAAACAAATCCTTATCCAGGAAAAAGCACCTAGCAGCTCCCCTTGGACATCCCTGAGCTCTGCTTTGGGGAGTATCATAAAGGTTCTAGCCTTCGTGAAGTTGCTCCTGTGGAGGTCTGTTGGTCCCTCTGACCTCAGCATCTGCTCACACCCGACCCTATGCCCGACTCCGGCAGTCTGTCCTGGCAGATCTCCTAAGTGGTCCTTGCTTCGCACAGGAGCCTCTGTGCACAGGGCCTCCCTCACCCAGCCTGGCCCTTCTGCTGAGCACTCTGCGCTGCTCTTGATTGGCAGCAGTGGGACTGGGCACTCCTAAGAGAGTTGCCTTGTGGCATTACACTGGAATAAGTCTGCCTCTGCCTCACCCTGCTGGCTCCTGGGGCTTTCACCCCAGGGAGAGTTGACATTGCTGGAGGGTTTGGTGGATTCCTAAGAACCATGAAATCACAGGAGCATGTTTAGGAAGACATTTTTCTCTGGTCCCTGTCTCACAAAGGACACATATGATTAAATATTTATTGTCTTAGATCATGGATTCCTGATCCTTCTCCCTCAGGGGGATCGAAAGGAACCCTCTGTAGTCATCCCATGTAAGGTGAGTTCGGTGTACATTGTCTCTTTCCAGTCACTGGATGCATGGCACCAGCTGGACAATGGTGCTTGGTGCCATGCCTTGCTTACCTCAGTCTCTGCAAGCCATGTCCCAAGGCTTCCTCAGGAGATCGGGGCTGGGGTGGGAGAGGCACTGAGACCCGCAATCACCCTTGGTGTTGAGCCTATTCGTTTCCAAAACATCTGTCTTTTCTCCAGTTCCCCTAGGTCTTGGTTTTGAGAAACAGCAGGCATGGCTGGTCGCGGTGGCTCACGCCTGTAATCCCAGAACTTTGGGGAGTCTGAGGCAGGTGGATCACCTGAGGTCAGGAGTTCAAGACCAGCCTGGTCAACATGGCAAAATCCCATCTCTACTAAAAATACAAAAATTAGCTGGTTGTGGTGGTGGACGCCTATAATCTCAGCTTCTTGGGAGGCTGAGGCAGGAGAACCACCTGAACCTGAGAGGCAGAGGTGGCGGTGAGCCAAAATCACACCATTGCTATCCAGCCTGACAGTGAGACTTTGTCTCAAAAAACAACAAAGAGAAACGTAACAGCCGTTTTGTACCAGGCTTTTTGTTGTTGTTTTTTGTTTGGAGCATGTTAAGATACTTTTTTAAGATTTTTAAATTTTGTTATATCCATCCTAATTTTTGTTGATGACAAATGTGTATAGGACATGTAAATGGTTCTTTTTAACCCCTTCTGTTTTTTTTTAAGAGGAAATTTTTTTTCCCTTTAGCAGCTTGTTATCACTGGAATCAAAGGGAAAAAGTGATCTCTTTTTGCATTGCTTGTATTTGTACGTCACAAATAAAAGACACTTTGTTCAGCTGCTGAGATGGCTTCCTGATGCTGGGACACTGTGGGCAACGTGGACCCGGGAAGCCCTAGGCCCTGAGCCTGTCCCAGCATTGGCCCCGAGTCTTGGGAGATGCGTGGCTATGATGGCCCGATACCCTGCCCTGTGAAGAAGCCCCAGGCTGGAGAAAACCTCAGGGTGTCTGGGGCAAGCAGCCAGAGGTGGGGACAGACCAGATGTATGTGTGTGCTGCTTCCCGGAAGTTCCGAGTGTGGGCAGAGGTGTTCTGAAGGGCGCTTGGTGTGCATCCTGGAGAAAAAGTCCCAAGCTAGGGCTTGGGACATTTAACATCTGTCCAAGCATAAATTCCAGTGCCTGTGTGTGGGAGGTCAATAGACGAGAGTGCTGCTTTCCTCTTCAGCATTATTGGGTTACTCAAAATATTCATCTCTCTTTTTTTTGTTAGAGTTGGGGTTTCACCACATTGGCCAGGCTGATCTGGAACTCCTGACCTCAGGTGATCCACCCACCTCAACCTCCCAAAGTGCTGGGATTACAGGTATGAGCCACCTCGCCTGGCCAAAATATTATTTGTCTCTTAAAACTCCTGCCCTCTTCCCTCCATTCACAGAAGACAAAGGCTTCAAAGAAGGGCAGCTCACGTCAGGCCTGCCAGAGCAGGAGAGTTATGAGCTAGGGGAGGCTCTGACCCCCCTGATGTGACAGATGGAGTTGTGCAGCTTGTTCCCCAGACAGGGATCCTGCCAGGTCCTGGTCCGGGGAGCTGGATCTCGGAAGTACTTTCTGTGGCCAGTGGAGGGCCTACCCTGCTATACTCTGCTTGGCGGTCTGCATCTGCTGGAGCAAAGAGTGGGAGACCCTGATCCACACGGAGCGTTTTGGCCCTGGCAGATTAAGCATCTGGGGAAAGGAGCCAGGATCACACCTGTCCTGTGGGTACCAGCCATGGCATGTTGTGGCCTCTCACCTGTGGGCAGGGCACACCTGCGGGTGGTCTGTGCAGCTATCTTACCTGAGGCCGGCCCAAAGAAAGGCAGCACAGCCCTTCCTTGGGAAGGGAAAGCAATTTGCATGACGAATCACACAGCCAGTTTTCCTTGTGGCAGAATTCTGGACCCCATGTTCTTTGTTCCTTGAAGATTGTGTTTTTGTCCCAGGCAGAAACTTCTTGAGATGGCCATCCCTTGCTGAAGGGTAAATGGCCACAGTTGGAGGGCATGGGGCCATTCCTTCATCCCTGCTGGCTGAGTGCAGGGAGAGTTGAGGTCTGCGCCCGCTCTTCCTCCGTCTTCACAGTGGCCTGGGCCCTCCACAGCAGCTGCCTCAGTGAGGTGTGGTGTGACTCCTGGGGCTGCCCATGGGCAGGTGGAGCCAGAGCCCCCGCTGCCAGGCAGTAGACAGCCCAGAGCCTGTGCTGGATTGAAAGGGACTGTGTCCCAGGGAGTGGGACGCCACTCACCAGATGGTTTCTGCTGCCGGCTTTGGAGGTAGTCAGTTCAAACTAGGGGGAAGGCTTTTCTAGTTTTTCCTAGAATCCTCTCCCCATGTGCAATAGAGGTTGTTCTACACCCCTGAGGACAGATGGGGTCTGGGGAGAGGGAAGATGTTGCCGTGGAGCCTGGTGAACTACTTGTGGTGGCATTACTTCCCTCTAAGGATAAATTGCCAGTGCCATGGCTCATGCCTGTAGCCGAAACACTTTGGGAAGCTGAAGTGGGAGGATCGCTTGAGGCCAGGAGTGCAAGAAAACCTGTGCATCATAGTGAGACCCTGTCTCTAAAAAAATATTTTTTTAATTAGCTGGGTGTGGTGGCTGGCACCTATAATCCCAGCTATTTGGGAGACTGAGGTGGGAGGATTGCCTGAGCCTAGGAGTCAGAGGCTGCAGTGAGCCATGATTGTGCCACTGCACTCTAGCCTGAGTGACAAAGCAAACAAAACCCTGTTCTTTAAAAACAAAAGCAAAAAAAACTCTAGGCATGGTGTGTCACGCCTGTAATCCCAGCACTTTGGGAGGCCTAGCTGGGCAGATCAGTTGAGGCCAGGAGTTCGAGACCAACCTGGGCAACATGGCGAAACCCCATCTCTACTAAAAATAAAAAACTTATTACCACTGATTCTAAAAAAAAAAAGAAAAAAATAAAATAAAATAAAAAATTTAGCTGGGTGTGGTGGTTTCTGCCTGTAATCGTAGCTATGTGGAAAGCAGAGGCTGCAGTGAGCCAAGGTAGCCCCACTGCACTCCAGCCTGGGTGACAGAGTGAGACTTTCTCCAAAAAAAAGATAAATTGAGAGTGAAAAGTAACTTGCTCATAGTCCCAGTAGGTGGCAGAGCCAAGAATTGAACACAGCAGCGTAGGAGGTGTTACTCCATTTAATAGGTAACCGGGAGCTTGGAAAAGAAAAGAAAAAGAGGAGCAAGCCAAGGACAACCACAGCTGTGTGCCTGACTAGGTGCCTTCCCTCCCTAAGCTGCCCTCCTGCACAGTGGCTGTGAGAGGCCTAACTTCTTCCTGAATGGGAGCTATGGGCCCCAGAGGCCCCTCCCGCCCCACCTTGCTGTTCCCGGTGCTGGGGACCAGGGTGGTGTCTCCTGCTTCTGGTCTGCAATGCCAGCATATTATGCAGTGCTGACCTGGACACAGGATGTTGGCTTCTGTGAAGTCCATCTACGTTCCTGGCTTCTGATTGTGCTGAAGTGAGCAAAGAGAACCTCTTGGCCTGTACTGGGGCTTTAGGAGTCTCTGTTGTGGTTTTTTTTTGTTTTTTTGGCAGGGCCTTAACCCTGTTGCCCAGGCTGAAGTGCAGTGGCACAATCAGCTCACTGCAGCCTCAACCTCCTGTGCTCAAGCAATCCTCCCACCTCAGCCTCCTGTGCACTGTCAAACCCGACTTAAATTTTGTATTTTTAGTAGAGTCAGGGTTTCACCATGTTGGCTAGGCTGGTCTCAAACTCCTGAGCTCAGGTGATCCTCCTGCCTCAGCTCAAGTGTTGGAATTACAGGCATGAGCTCCCAAGCCTGGCTCTGCTGTGGAGTGTTAATTCCATTAAGATGAACATTTAAGGCCAGGCGCGGTGGCTCATGCCTATAATCCCAGCACTTTGGGAGGCCGAGGCAGGTGGATCATGAGGTCAAGAGATCGAGACCATCCTGGTCAACAAGGTGAAACCCCCGTCTCTACTAAAAATACAAAAATTAGCTGGGCATGGTGGTGCGTGCCTGTAGTCCCAGCTACTCGGGAGGCTGAGGCAGGAGAATTGCTTAAACCCAGAAGGCGGAGGTTGCGGTGAGCCGAGATCGTGCCATTGCACTCCAGCCTGGGTAACAAGAGCGTAACTCCGTCTCAAAAAAAAAAAAAAAAAAAAACATTTAATAGTCCCTACAGACTGGCAGGGCTGGGGCTGAGGTCACACCATGTGGTGTTGGTTTTAGCACAGGCCACCCCAGTGTTGGAGGGAGGAGGCCCTGAGCAATGGGAGCAGGCCAGGAGCCTCCGAAGGGGTGGAGGCTGTTTGACTCAGAGAAGGGGTCGGAAAGCCATAGTTGAGGGCAGATCAAGAGCTGGGAGCAGGGTTAGAGCCAGCTGTGGCTGCTCTGGCGGTTGAAGGCCAGGCCCTGTGCCTCTCTGGGGTCCTGCTGTGGCACGGCGGGGGCACTGTTGCAGCAAGTGAGGCTGAGGGGTGGCCTGGACACTAGTGGCTTCCCCTCATTGGTGACAAAGGACTAGGCAGCCATGTTCACTGACTGTCGTCGTGAGGTCTCAAGCCGCCAAGAGCAGGCACCGTGGGTGGCATGGGGCAGCACATGCCCTCGAAGTTCGGCGTGTTGTGAAACTGTCCCCATGTCTAGCTCAATGCTGGGCAGGTGGGCCACACAGGGACGTCACACTTGGGAGCTGTGGGGGAACCACTACATGGTGGCCCCTCTCCTAAATGTTGGATACATGGAATGGGGAAGGTGGGGTATGTGGCTCCAGGGGTCCAGGTATGCGGAGCTCAGTTAGGGCCCTCTGAGGGCCCCAGCAGTGAGACTGGTGTCCAGGAACAATGAAAAGGAGTGGGGACCCACCTTAAGCTGATCAGGGGTCTAGAGGCAAGAGGCCCCTGGGTTGGGTAGGCCCGGAGGCTCATGCATGTAATCCTAGTACTTTGGGAGACCAAGGCAGGCAAATCACCTGAGGTCAGTTCAAGATTAGCCTGACCAACATGGAGAAACCCTGTCTCTACTAAAAATACAAAATTAGCCAGGCATGATGGTGCCTGTAATCCCATCTACTCGGGAGGCTGAGGTGGGAGAATCGCTTGAACCCGAGAGGCGGAGGTTGTGGTGAGCTGAGATCACGCCACTGCACTCCAGCCTGGGCCACAAGAGCAAAACTCCATCTGAAAAAAAAAAAAAGGCCCTGGCCAGGCGCGGTGGCTCAAGCCTGTAATCCCAGCACTTTGGGAGGCCGAGGCGGGTGGATCACGAGGTCAAGAGATCGAGACCATCCTGGTCAACATGGTGAAACCCCGTCTCTACTAAAAATACAAAAAGTTAGCTGGGCACGGTGGCACGTGCCTGTAATCCCAGCTACTCAGGAGGCTGAGGCAGGAGAATTGCTTGAACCCAGGAGGCGGAGGTTGCGGTGAGCCGAGATCATGCCATTGCACTCCAGCCTGGGTAACAAGAGTGAAACTCCGTCTCAAAAAAAAGGCCCATGGGTATTGGAGCTGTGAGCCTGGGCTAGGGTCTCTAAAGGCAGAGGGCCTGGATGCGCTTTACAGCCTGGTAGGGGCTAGGATTGGGGCCAGCCCATGATGGAGGGAAACGAGGCCTGAGAAGCTGGTCTTCACCGAGCTGGAGCCATGGTCCCCCTCCACCGGGTGCAAACGCGGTGATCTTGCCCTCATCACATAATGCTGCTGTCTGCGGTCTCCGTTCCTGAAGGGGTTAACCACCATGGGCTCTCGGCAGGCACACCCAGCCCTCAGCTTGCACCATTCCCTCTGGAGGCTGCCAGACCCC